GCCCGGCCGGGCAGCGTCCTCACGCAGCCTTTTTTTGTTTTTTGTTTTTTGTTTTTTTTCGCGCCTAGGGGTGCTAATGTCCATCAGCACCCTGCCCCGGCCGCTCTTTTCCTCGGCGACCCTATTTCGGGCCCGAAAATGGCTCGACCGGCTGATCGCACCGGCCGTCGGAGTGCAGAGGGTCCCGTTCCAACGGCAATTCCGTCCCGTTGGACCTACCGGTTGCCATCCAAAAATCTACATACCATTAGCTTGCCGCTGATCCTTTCAACTGGTCAGCGCTGAACCAGTTCAGCGCCCAGATTTGTGATCGAAGCCAGCCAAAAAAAAGGACAAAGTTTGTGGTCCTGCACATCTCCTCACCCTTCGAACCCCATATCAAGCACCCAGATTGAGGCTTAAACTGCCTTTCGATCTGGAATAATTATCATGCGACTGCACGTTCAACTGGTTGGAGATGACCCTTCATCTTCTGGGTGCAAAAAAAAAAAAAAAAAAAAAAAAAAAGACGGAACTCTATGGTTGTTGACATCTCCCCACCCTCCAAGAGGGCGCGCCCATTTTGTTTTTGCTTCAATTTTTACTTCTCAAGTTTTTTGTTCATCTTTTTCTTTCACCAACTGTTCTTTTTCATGAATGAATTGATTCAATTTGATTGTTTGATTGATTGATTTATGGAACACCCCTCCCCCCGGCAAAAAAAAAAGAAAAACATGGCGGCCAATTGTTTCCCCCCCCCCCCCCCCCCCCAAAAAAAAAAAAGTGGGGCCCATTTTTTTTTTCAAAAAACAAATACATAGGGGCTGAGGGCGGGGTGCGCGATCCCGATCCCGCCTGCCGTCGTCCCCAAAGACCCCTCGGAAGGCCTCCAGACTGCCGTGAACGGCGTTCACCACCGTGAGGGGTAGTGAACAGCCTTTCACCCATTCCTGCACGGCAGCGTTCACGGACACAGGGGAGGCACTGGTTGTAGGTGCCAGGGCTAAGCACGGCCTCACCTACCCCACTCAGAAGCATAGCCGGATGAGCCCTGTTGTACGGGTACTTCGGGCCCTGGGTTTAGACACTCTCCTACAAGTTCCGTAGGTGGACCCATTCCTATCCCCCTTAAACCACCAGTACATTTCCAAGCTATCAAGTCGGAGCCTCCCCCTACCGGTATGCCGAGCCTTGCCAAGGCTCCCGATACAGGTAGCGGGATTTTTTTGATTTTTTTTAAGCGAGATTGACATCCTTTAAAAAACAGAAAAAAAGAGCCAAAGAAAAAAAAGAAACGAACTCTATTCTCAGAAGTACGAAAAAAAAAAAAAAAAAAAAAAAGAAATGAAATGGGAAACAGGGGGGGAGAGAGAGAGAGAGAGAGAGAGAGAGAGAGAGAACGGTGCATCTGGGCACTTTTCTTGCCCCACACACGGGAATGTTCATTCTCATTTCTCTCTCTCTCTCTCTCTCTCTCTCTCTCTCTCTCTCTCTCTCTCTCTCTCTCTCTCTCCAGCGAAATGAGAATGAATCTTCCCTGACACACGGGAGAGTTCATTCTCATTTTGCATGTTCATGCAAAACCCCGCCGCGGCCTCTCTCCCGACACGCGGGAAAGTTCATTCTCGTTTACCAACGGGCCTAGCGCAGTTGGTACACCCATGAACTGTTGTAATACAGACCCGAGTTCAAATCCAAATGAAGTTTAATGAACAAAAAAAGCTTTAATTTTTAATAATTTGAACAATATATATTTAGAAACAGACACCTCTCCTTTATTAAGATAATAATAATAAAAATCACTTGACTGGCGGAGAACGCCAGTAAGAAAAAGCCAACTCCCCCAGAAGAGCCAACGCAGCTTCCACAACAAAAGAGGCACGCAGCGTATTGCACTCAGTGTCCTATATACTCTTTTTACTCAAAGGAAACAACACCGTAACGTCCTTTTTTTTTTTTTTTTTTTGAACCGTGCTCCATCTATTGGTGGGGAGCAGCACCTGCTGGAAAATGGGTCCAGCGTCCCAGAACAGACACCGTAACGTCCTACCTCATTCAGAGTTCAAAATCTGGTCGCTTACTTCCGCGTTGATTACGTCCAACTCACTTGAGCGCTGTGACAGGCTGTGAACGTCTACATCCTCAGTTTGCTTCAGCATCAATGCTAGCATCTGCTTCTTTTCCCCATCAGATGGTGACTTGACCGCTCCGACCGATGCAACTCGACTGCGTGCACCGAGCCATTACCTCGTAGGAGGACCACAAGAGGTGCTGCACACACCGTAGACCACAGGTTCGACGAAGTAGCTTAAGGAATCGTTTCACGTACAGATCTGCACGAACAAACACAAACACCATGAACTAAATGTGGCTGCGCTGCCTGCGCACACCCATGCCCGTTTCCAATCTCTCACTGCCCCATCCATCCATCGGCAGACTTACACCAGCTGTCCGCATTCGCTGGCCGGAGTCAGTCTCTCCGGGCCCTGTTCAGCAGCCATATGATCCATGTTTGGATCTAATATGTCAAGGGCAGGCAGGTGCGCGTTGTCATAGACAGCCAGGACACTTGTCAGACCACAATCGCGAATCATTGGCCCAGAAGCAATTCACAGATCTTTAAGTGAATAGCCATTCGAATATCATGGGACGAATACGGAAAGAAGGGAGAGACCTGCTAACACACAAGGAAGTGTAAGATCGTCTCACTAGGAATCGAACACGTGACATGCCATCAAAGAGGTGGATCACTTAACCTATAGGTAAAGTGAGCTCGGATGAAAGTGACGCCCCTTGTGGGACATTTTTTTCACCCCACCCCAGCATGGCAGTTCATCCATGACCCGCTACACCCAGACTCTACTCTACTCAACCCAAGTGCACGTGAGGGGTAGCTCACAGCACCGCCCAGACCTCAACCAAGCACTGCATGGGCGTCACCCCTTGTGGGACATTTCACCCCACCCCAGCATGGCAGTTCATCCATGACCCGGTGCGACCGGACTCTACTCAACCCAAGTGCACGTGAGGGGTATCTCACAGCACCACCCAGACCTCAACCACGCACTGCATGGGCGTCACCCCTTGTGGGACATTTCACCGCACCCCAGCATGGCAGTTCATCCATGACCCGGTGCATCCGGACTCTACTCAACCCAAAGGCACGTGAGGGGTAGCCCACAGCACCGCCCAGACCTTAACCAAGCACTGCATAGGCGTCCGCCCGGCTAAGTGCTTTCAACACACAAGAAGTCCAAGGTCAACCAACCAATAGATGGAGCCTCCCCCGGTGCTAGTGATGCATGCTCTTATCAGCATCACTAGGACCACAGGCGGTGTGTTTAGAAAAAAAAAAAAAAAAAAAAAAAAGGGATTCGAACCTAAGACCTGCCACCGAAGAGGTGGATCACTTAACCAATAGGTAAGAGTACCTCACCATGATCAAACCCCCCATGGCTAATCTGGGAGTGCCTTGTTGCCGATTCTTCCGGCTGGTCGGAGACGAAGCCTGCAGAAAAAAAAAAACAGGACAAAAGTCTGTGGTCCTCCACATCTCTCCACCCTCCAAACCCCATGTCAAGCACCCACACTGGGCTCAAAAACTCCTGACTAATCTGGAGTTATCTCATCTTGTGACTGAGCCTTCAACTGGTTGGCGATGACCTTCATCTCCCTGCAAACAAACGACAGACTCGATGGCTGCGCACATCTCCCCGCCCTCCGAACTTGTGCTGAAGCGCCTGGATTGGAGACAAAAAAATGATGAATCAGGGATTGCTTTGCAAGTCACTTGAGACCGCACATTCAACTGCTTGGAAATCAACCATCATCCACGCCTGCAAAAAAGAGACAGAGTCTGTGGTCCCGCACATCTCCCCACCCTCCAAATCCCTGGGTAGCACCCGATTGGGGCTTTGCTAGATAAGGCAAGTACCGAACACTTCCTGGGGCGAGATTAGCTCGCACCGCACCTTTAGGTACAGGTGCAACATCATCTTTTTCTGTCGTGTGTGGCAAGATCACCGACCCTGGCGTTCCACAGCCATTTTTTACACCGTGAATTCCATGGCCTTGGTGGAGCCCGCATGCTCCAAAGTGCTGGATGTTTGCTCGGCGTCCTCGAATAGATAATAGACCATTGGGACCGAAAGCCGGGTATACTCTCTCGATGAGTGTCAAGTCCCAATTATAGTCATCAAAGGTACAAAACTCCCGCGACCGCGAATGAATCCTGTTCCCCAAGACGAACATGCACACAATCCACGGACCAGTCAGCATAATAAAGACCTGTGTAATGACCCGCCAAAACACAGACTGAGAACACTGCTGATTTCTGGGATTTGCCGCTGGAATGAATGCCTTGCTGAGATTCCCGCATTCTGCTGTGGTTTCCAAGTCTGTGTGTGTGTGCGTGCCTGAGTGCTTGTCGGTTGAGTGTGTGTGTGACCCGCAAGGGTACTGGTTGGTTGAAAGGCGCCGCAGGGCCGGTACTTACCTGTGGCCGTGACTTTGAGGGTTGCAGCGGGGAAAACACTCAAGTCGCGGGGAAAAACATGCGACACTTAGAGCAGGGGGGGAAAAACACTCAAGTAGCAGGTAGGCCGGTACCACTCAAGTAGTGGTAGAAGTGTCGGGTACTGGAGGGCGAGCAGAAGAAGACAAAAAGTTGGCATTTTTAGAGGCCCAGTAGCGGTAGGATACAGGTAGGCCAGTACCAGTCCAAGTGGCCTGAGTCTAGGGCCTGTCCGGACGACAGCAGAGCCTGCAATGATGTTTCCCTCCGAAAGGGAGAAGGTATCGGTTGCTGGGAGGCTGCTCGGCCTAGGAAGTCACCGCCCAAGAGGCCAGTAGGCCGCTATATCTTCCGGAGGAGCAAGCAGCTCCTCCTCATTTGCGGTCTGCAAGGATTGGCGACATGCTGCTGGAGCCAAGCGCTGGACTTGGGCAGCGCTGCCTGGAGGTGACGAGCAGCTGGGCGCTCAGCCTGGCTATGGCAAGCAGCCCAGCCTGAGGAGGAAGAAGCAGGGGCTGAAGGAGGAGAGTGGCAAGTTACCTACATGGCTATGGTGGACACCATCTTCATCACCTTGTTGGGCGCTGCATCTAGAAGGCCCCAGTTGGGGTAGTGCCGCACCAAGGAAGCTCGAGGCAGAGTCAGGCATGGCGGCTTAGTCAGCGACGACATAGCTAGACTGGGTTGTCCTTTGGACAGGAGTGCAGCGACATAGCTGCTTTGCGTTGTCATTTGCACAGGAGGGCAGAGCCCTCAGTAGTCCGCCATAGCCTAGGCATGTGAGAGGTGGAAGGAGGCGGGAAGCCATAGCTATGGTGGACCTATTGTGATGTCAGCAGTAAGAGGGAACTTCGGATATTGATTCTGGTTCATCCTCTCATTGTTATTATTATTATTGGAAGAAGAATAAGATTGGCGAAGTGAAGGAGGAGGAGGAAGGTGGAGAGAGAAGGGGGATTTATCATTGGTCTTGCTGGTGTACTTCTTCTTCTTCTTCTTCTTCTTCTTCTTCTTCTTCTTCTTCTTCTTCTTTCTCTCTTCTTTGGTCTATATCTCTTTGCAAGTACTTTCATTTCTTTCGCAATTGGGTGGCATTGTCTTTCATTGTGAATTTGCACTTTGGGAATGACCAGGATCGTAACACCTGCCAGGCTGCTGTGTAAGGGCCAGAAGAAAAGTACAAAAACAGAAGCCAATTGGACGAAGAACTACAGAAACAACGAACAACAGTATCAGCCGCTAGACATGAAGCCATGACATGTTGAGATGTCACATTGTTCAGAATGCACTCATGAAACTCTCGAAAACCCCCATCACCATCGAAAACCGCTCTGGACTTCCGACAGTTCCCCGCATGCAACATACTACANTGATACTAAATCTTCCGCTGCGCTGCTTCCCAGCCCATGATGATAATGATACGAATGTGTGTTGTTGATTTCTCGTTGATTCACCCTTTGCACCGTGCACATTGACATCTCGTGGATGTTGCACCTATGCTGCTGGTTGTTGCCACTTTTGTCATTGCTAGATCCTAGGCTCTCAGTGCATTTCACTTTCTGATATGCTACACTACTGCAGAAACTCGGTATTACCCCCTCTTCCTTTCTCCCTGAGAAGTTGGGAACATGTGCCTCTTCAGCATGCACATTTTGTATCGCACCATCAGCTATGCCCGTTCCTCGCTCGGCAGATGCTGCCTGACCCAGGATATTTATTAGGGGCTGCTGAAATGCATTCTATTACATGTGGAGAGTCTTGAGACTGTTGACGCTGCTCTCTTCCCCCCTCACCCTAATGGACTAAGAAAGACGACAGATCAACGCCGGGTGCTCCGTTATGTAGAAATGTATCCGTTATGTAGAAATGTCATCAATCATGCCTGCGCTCAGAGCTTCAACTGTCTCTTATACACATCTAGATGTGTATAAGAGACAGGCTATCAGCCGCTCCATCTATTGGTGGGGAGTGTCACCTGCTGGAAATCGGGTCCAGCATCCCTTGCACACACACTTAGGATTGGAATTGCTGTCCATCTGAGATAGAGCTGCAGGCAACCAAAAGATTGACTGCAGCTACAGCTAACTCACTACTGCAGAAGTCCTTCGGGACATCCGTTAAAATTGGAACGATACAGAGAGAGAAGATTAGCATGGCCCCTGCGCAATAAAGGATGACACGCATAAATCGAGAAATGGTCCAAATTAAAAAAAAAAAAAAAAAAAAAAAACTCACTACTTGTTACATGCTGAGAGCCTACACATGGGCCCCTCACGGGACCCGAGGTTGGAATAGGGGCCCCAGGTCGCGTCACCGCAACCTGAAGGCCCTATGGCATTTTTACTTGGGCCTGCATCAGAAAAACGCCAGCTTTAGAGTATTTTTATATTCGTTTATTTTTTTAATTGCTGTTGTTTTTCTAACGTGTGTGCTGTTGTCCGTTTTGTGGGCAGGTACACGTTCTAGGGCCAGGACCTGATTCAGGCCCAGAGGCTGAGCCTCCAAAAATGTTTGGACCGTTTTTTTTTGTTTTCGGACAGATTTTGGACCATTCAGACCTGGACCGACGTTCAGGCCCGATGCATTCGCATAGGCCCTGAATCGGACCAGGTACCGAACAGGCCAGCCCCTGTCTCTTATACACATCTAGATGTGTATAAGAGACAGGTAGAAATGTATCCGTTATGTAGAAATGTCATCAATCATGCCTGCGCTCAGAGCTTCAACATTCGTATGGACCATGTGCAAGTTCTCCGTCCACTGACGAGGCCGTTTCTGGCGGAACGGCTGAAACGATCGCTTGGAGTACCGCCAGCATGGTGCTCTTGTGGCACCGTTCCGAGCAGCCCCAGCGCAAAAAAAAAAAAAAAAAAAAAAAAAAATCCGGGATGAAATATGTTGTGTAGAATTGAAATACAAATGACTTTTGGCTGAGGTGACACATTATAATTCCTCACAGAATCGGTGATAAAAAAGAAAACAAGTTAAATAACAGAATCACGCAAAGGCACCGGGTCCCCCCTTTAGACCCTTGTAACCCCTTTAAAACCAATTTATACCCCCTTTTGACAGCCAACTCGCAAAAAAGAAATGAATCCTCTGGGAGAGCGCAGAAAACCAAAAAAAAAACAAAAAAAAATAAAATTAAAAAACAATTTATTATTATTATTATTATTTTTTTTCACGCCCGGGTACCCTGGGCGTCATGCCAGGGTGCCCGGCCGGGCGTGAGAATCTTCCTAGCTTTTTTCTCAGTAGAACTTGGATTTTAGGAATGTGCGTTCCAATTCCAGATTGGAACTGAATCTTCAAGTTTCGAGTTCAGAGCAGAATTTCCCAAATCGAAAGGCTGTTTCGAAGAGAGAGAAAGACACAAAACAAAGGAAAAGAAACACAATCAAAAGGAAAAAGCAAGCGAAGAAGTGTCGGGACAAACATCCACAAATCTGAAATGGAAAAAGACAAGTAAATTCTGTACCGAAAGTCGTTCTCACAGCAATGCATTTCCCACATACTGTGCCAGCACCCAAGGTCGGCGATCAAAGATGCACGAGCTCCAATCCGATTGTCATTACTTCACTCTGACTCTAACCAAACAGTCTCATCAAACCCTAAACAAAAGGACTCAAAACAGTGATCAGCCATGATGCTCTCTTGGCTTTCGCTTTCCGCATCGAAAAGATGTTAGGGTGTAGGCTGCGTTGCAGTCACCGATTAGGACTCTTAGGAGAAACTTAGGTGGGTCTACCATTCGATTGACTTCGGTTGGCTCCTGGCATGTCTTATAGATGCGTCCGTCTATGATGGGTCAGTGGTTAGGACTCTTAGGAGCATCTGAGGCGGGTCTAGCATCCGATTGACTTCGGTTGGCCCCTGGCGCGTCTTAGATGCGTCCGTCTGCGATGTGATTTACTTCAGGGGTGTCTTTGAGGGGTCAGTAATGGAGTCAGATTCATCATTTTTAGATCCCTCTGAGCCATTCAATAGAGGGCCGGCGGAAACTGATTTAACAAGCTTCTTCCCGGAAGTTGCGAAGAAACAACTCAACCCTTTTATTAGTATCAAATAACTTTCAAGTACTAATTAGAATTGGAATTGTTCACACTCGTCAGTTACTCTCTCTTTCTCCTGAAAGATCGATTTACTCGAGCCTTGGACAAACATTGTCATTCCCCGCAACAGCATTTTGGCTTACGCATTTTACGGTTTTTACCGTCTGATATTGACAAAAAAAGTGTGAGGTTGCACCGCGTTGATGGGAGGAGACATCCAGCAGATGGCAGTCTGGGCAGCACAGCCGTAGTACATACCTTTTCCATACGCTGCGGTTACTCGAGGCTTGGACAAACATTGTCATTCCCCACAACGACTTTTTGCCTTTACACATTTTACAGCATGATATTGAAAAAACACAAAAAGTGTGAGGTTGCGCCACGTTGATGGGAGGAGACATCAAACATATGGCAGTTCGAGCAATGCAGTCGTATTACGTACCTTGTCCATACGCTGCGGTTGAATGCATAGCCCATGTTTGACATCCTCTCTACTACGAACAACACGCTGAGAGGAAGCACGTACTCGATTCCCAAGTTGGCGGGTGCTAAGTTTACTGCATTGCAAAAAGAACAGGCCAGAGACTTCGCCTCCAGGAGAGCCTGCAGGTTCCTGTATGCATTTGGAAAAAGATAGTGATCCTCTTCAACGAACAGGATATGCCCATCGTACCCACGTGTCTCCCGCAGATGATCCCACACTTCATTCATCATCCACCACCAATGGTGCTTGAGTGATACAATACTTGGACTCCTGTTCATTACAGCAGTTCACAAGCAAACAAAGCTGCACTGCTTTCTCGTCAGATCTGGGGGGGCGGGGGGAAGGGGGAGAGAGAGAGAGAGAGAGAGAGAGAGAGAAGCCATCCAGAAACCCTCTCACTGCATTATCTAGTTTCGAAAAGGGAGTTGGACATTATTGCAGTCACGGTGGAATCATCATTATGAGGATACGCATACCTGTTCGCATAACTGACGCATAGTATGCAGGTCATATGCAAAGGACCAGCTGACTGAAAGCAAAATTTAGGGTTTAGGGTTTTGCACACCAGCAGACAGGTGGCACGTCTTCTAGGGGGGATATAGTTGGAGGGGGAGGGAAGGGGGGAGGGGGGGGGTGTCCTTTAGGGTCTCGGCAGGATGGGATGACCAGGGCCCCGGCAGGGCTGCTCATGTGAAACAGTTGTATTGTATTCCTCTGTTTAAGGGATGTTGGGCCCCATTCCCAGCAGGTGCAGCTGCCCCCACCAATAGAAATGGAGCCATCCACCGAAGGGTCACGATCCCGGAGGCTTTCTTACCACCATGGGACTGCACAGCCTCGGCGGACGTTCCCAAAAAAAAAAAAAAAAAAAAAAAAAAAAAAAAAGAGGAGGCAGATGTGCAGGTCCATTGTCGATCCAAACAAGAGGCAACTTAAAAAAGATAAAAATAAAGCCCGGGCTAGGAAGGCCACTGTGGAATGCGTAGACCTCCCCGAGGACCTCCCGTGGCCCCTACGTTGCCCCACTGGGTCCTGAGGCCGCACGCCCAACGTTTTTGGCATCCTTAGGGCCATTGGGCTTTGGCTTGTTTCGTTCATGCAACCTCGTAGTGCTGAGATGCAATCCCAGCTTTTGTTCTCTATGAGCATGTGATACCGTAAACCATTCCCTTCATAAGTTGGTGTCCGAAAATGAGAATGGCTCTTTGACATAATGCAAGGCAAGCGCAACTTGTAATCATCCTTCAAGCGCAGCAGATGTGATCAATGCAAGGGTAAGACTTTAATGATACATGCTAACTTCATAGATTCACTTCGGTGATAGAACAGAGCGAGGTGCCTTCAATTCTCTAGCAGCAAAGCTCACCTGTACGATCCAAAGGTGTCTGGCTTGTTTGGGCAGCTTGAAGGAAGCTCGTGAGGTAATTGGATCTTTCGGCCTTCGCAGTCCCCGGGTTCTTTCCCGGGAAATGACATAGGAAACAAATGTGGAGAAAAAGGTGCAAATATCTGCTTCACCTGCAAAAAAAAAAAAAAAAAAAAAAAGAAAGAAAGAAACAACAACAACACAATTCAAATTTCAAAATCAATAAAGAAGAAGGCTCACCACTTCGACTATTCTCAGTGGAGATGGGAGCACACAATTCAATACTGTTGATGTCATCTGATTAAACCACCGGTACTTTCGAGGCACTTTTCTCAGACTCTGGGGAAGCTCTGCGTGCCAAAAAACGAACTGACACGGGCCGTTGATGAACTTTATCGACAGCCCTGTTATGACCCTGGCCAATTTCGAGATACACATCCACCGGAAAGTACAATGCCATCCAATTGCAGAAAGAAATGAATGAACTTGAGAGGA